TAAACCCTAATAAACCCTAAATAAACCCTAATAAACCCTAAATAAACCCTAATAAACCCTAATAAACCCTAATAAACCCTCTAAACCCTAATAAACCCTAAATAAACCCTAATAAACCCTAATAAACCCTAATAAACCCTAATAAACCCTAAATAAACCCTAAATAAACCCTAAAAAAACCTTAATAAACCCTAAATAAACCTTAATAAACCCTAATAAACCCTAATAAACCCTAAATAAACCCTAATAAAACCTAATAAACCCTAATAAACCCTAATAAAACCTAAAAAAACCTTAATAAAACCAAATAAACCCTAATAAACCCTAATATAAACCCTAAATAAACCCTAATAAACCCTAATAAACCCTAAATAAACCCTAAATAAACCCTAAATAAACCCTAATAAAACCTAAATAAAACCTAATAAACCCTAAATAAACCCTACATAAACCCTAATAAACCCTAATAAACCCTAATAAACCCTAATAAAACCTAATAAACCTTAATATAACCTAATCATAACCTTAATAAATCTACATAAACAAAAATAAACCCTAATATAACTTAATAAACCCTAATAAACTTAATATAACTTAATATAACTTAATATAACTTAATATAACTTAATATAACTTAATATAACTTAATAAAACTCAATAAACCCAACATAAAAAATTGAACTTCGAGACATTACACAATTACTCTACTTTTGAAAAAATTATATTATTGCAATTTTTTGTTTTCTCGGTTTACTTCTATAATCTTCACTTTTAGACTGTATCCTACTTAATTTTTTTGACATCTTTAATTCCTTAAATGCAACTTCTTTTTGTGTATTATTTACAGTTGTGTCTTATCGGTCGTATAGATTGATATATATTTTGCAATTTACTGATGTTTTAAAATTAAATTTTTAAGTTATTGTATGATTCTTATTTTTTTGTTTTAGTTAAGATTAATTTTAGTTAATTATATTTGCATCTGTGGTTTCTATTTGTAGTAACTATTTTGAAACAAAAAATTATCTTCTCTTGTCCACTAAGTAACTAATTTATTATTTATACTTTTTTTAATAATTTTTTTTACTTTATTCAATTTATTGTGTCTAAAAAGAATTTACTTTGAAACATTGACATATAAGCGTTGAAAATCAAGGCGGTAATAGATTTTTTTATTTTTTCAATGTTTTATTTAACTATAGTATTTTGCTAGCATAGTTTTATTAAGTTTAAAAAAGATTATTTTTGACTGAGGTTGTATGTACTATGAAAACATAGAAATATTATGTGAACAATATGTCGTCAAGTTTACTACTACCTCCATCTCATAAAATATAAATGAAGGTCAACTTTTGATCTTCTACTTCTAAAATTTGAATTCCTCACAAACATCCTTATTGTATTTTCTTAATTTCCTCAATTCAAATTACTTTGTCCTTTCGTACACTGCCCTGACAGTTTTTAATGTCCTTTCCCATTTCCAATTTACCCATTATTCCCCTACCACTCATAATGGTAAATCCCAAAATCTAAGTCGCTGTGCGGTTGGCCCCCTGTCTTTTCAATTGGCCCGCAATCCTTCCTCCCCTCCCACTCATTTTTCCCCATGGCAAGTTTCAAATCACAATTGCCCCATCTACATTTCGAATTGAACCCTCTCCAATTTGGCCCCAATCCTTCCTACCCTCCTACTCATTTTCCCCCATAGCAATTTTTAAATCATAATTGCCCATCTACATTTCGAGTTGCCCCCTGTCTTTTCAATTGGCCCGCAATCCTTCCTCCCACTCATTTTCCCCCATGCACATTTTCCAATTCACAATTGCCCATCGACATTTCGAATTGCCCCATTTCCAATTTGGCCCCAATCCTTACCCCCACTCATTTTCCTTTATGGCAATTTCCAATTTATACTTGCTCCCAACGCTCTCACATTTCCAATTGGCCACTTCTTTCCTCAATCAACACTCCCCCATGACAATTTTTAAAACAAAGTTGCACTACCATCCTTTACCCGCAATCGACCATTTCATTCATCCATACATATTCTCTCATCAAATGACAATTTACCAGATGCAATTCTTTGTCTTCTTTCAGTTCGTTTACTATTTTTTTGAACCATCTACTTGATCCTTTTCAATATGTCTATTTCTTTGAATAAAAAACCTTTTTTTATACATTCTATGACTATGTACTCTTTTTTTATAGGTTAGTTTTCACTTTTGAAGTTATTAATTTTTGAAGAACAAACTTTACGTTTATTGCGTGTTTACCTTTTTTTGTCAAGGTTGCTATCAAATTTTGCTGATCGTTTATATTTTTGTGGTGTATATTTTTAGTAAATATTGTAAAACTAAACTAAAAATTATTTATTTTTGTCAATTTAGTGGATAATGTACAAATATAGTCTTTAAAATTAATTCTTTTTTTGTTTTGTTGAGTTTTATGTTTTCATATCATATTTACTTTGAATATTTAATTGTAATAGCTAAAAGTTAAGTCAATGATTAAATTTTTTTAATAATGTTTTCAATGTTTCAATTAACTATATTAAATTGTTATTACATTTTCTTTAGAAATTTAATATGAAGATTATTTTAGAGTAAAAATATATTATGAAAGCATGGAAACATTATGTGAACAGCATGTAGTTGAACTTTCTACTACTACTATCTCATAAAACAAAACTGAAGTTCAAATTTCAATCTTTTTTGCTTTTCAAATTGGATTTTTCAAACACTCTTCCTGTATGGATGGATTCTCCCAAGATTTTCAATTCACACTCAGTCTTCTTTGCACACTGTCCTCAATTTCAAATGCCCCCATTTCTAATTTACCCATTCTTCCCCGCATCCATAATGGCAATTTCCAAATCAACACAATCGCCTTTGGGTTGGCCCCTCTTCTCCAATTTCCTCACCCCCTTTCCCCACCCATTTTCCCCCATCGCAATTTCCCCACTCTTTCCCATTTCCAATTGGCCCATTCTTCCCCCCACCCAAAATGGCAATTTCAAATCACGATCACCTTTGTGGTTGGCCCAAATTGGCCCCTTTCCCCACCCATTTTCCCCCATCGCAATTTCCCCACTCTCTCCCATCTCCAATTTACCCATTCTTTCCCACCCCACGCCCATAATGCCAATTTTCAAATCAAAATTGCGCGGGCCCATTCCCAATCGGCCACTCTTTTCAAATTGCCCACCTTTCCCATTAGCAGAAAAAATCAGTAAAAAGTGTGTATATTGGTGCTCAACATATTATGCAGAATCAGACCCAATGGAAACATCGAAATCTTCTTTTTACAGTATAACAATATGATTCAACATTAGGTCAACTGTAGAAACAATGGATTCAAACGAGTTAAGGTCAACGATCTGTTTAGAATTTGGAAGTAATTTACAACTACCAGGAAAGAATGTGGGGATTTTCTTCCATTATGATTCTTGTCAAGCAAACTATCAACTAGATTGTCCTCTGTGTATTTAGATGAAAGAATACTAGTACTCGTTGGTATTTCGTCCGCCAAGTCTACTTGGGTAAGTTCTTCCAATAAATCCATACAATCGTGAAGCAATCGGTATTAAATAGACTATCGAGGATATATAAATACTATATGAACCAAAGTCTAGGGTATAACGACTCTTTTTATTGGACAGAGAGTTTTATAGTGTCACGATAAAAGATCTTGATGAGCTACAGGACTCATAATAGACGGACAACCCAGTGTGGTTCAAACAACCCATTTCATTCTAGTAGCACTATCCAATAAATATTCATCTTGAGAATGCAAAATGAAACTACCTCCTATCTATATCACGTACCTTGTATAAATCTTTTACAATGGTTACAACTTGTCTTTGACTCGCGGATCAACAATCTGTCTAAAGTGAATTCTTAAATCACCCTTTTGAATAGAGTTGTCCTGCTACTATTCCTCAAATACTGGAATCAGTCAATTTTACAAATTCAAGTGCGATTATTTGTCAATTGATAAGTAAATATGCTAGTATGACACAAAGCAATCAATCATTCAATCAATGAATCAACACAAGTCAAACTCAATTCTTCATCCATAGAGATAACAAAGAGTCTGTTGTGAAAGGCAACATGACCTAGTAAAAGCTGTACCAGGTGATCAACTTGAATTTGTAATAGCTTAATATAACAAAGATAAGAGACAACTTTTTTCACCAAAAAAAATAAACGGACATAACCATGTATCTCAGCATGACTTG